TATATATATGTATATAAATATGTTCATTAAAATTTAATATACAAGCTTTATATGTATATTTTCTAAACTTTTCACGTTAATTATCTTAAGTAAAACTCTCTACAAATTTTTATAAAGAGAAGCTCGAAAAAATTTGTCTAAACAAATCATTATAATTGCTTTCTGTGAAATGTGCTCTCTGCAAGAGTACGGCGATATCAAAGTCGGAACATAGGGCACAGAAGGATAGGAATATTCTTTTTGCGAACAACACTGGAATGCGGATGGTGTCTGGTTTGTTGAGAAAATGCAAAAGGGAATTGCACTGACCGTGCTGCCGACGAAAACGCATATGAATGTGACCATAGGAAGAGAACGGATGGTATTCGAGGTATTTCTCTATTGTGTAAGGAAATACTGGAATTCCCTAGTTACAAATTGCCAGCGAGAATTGGGTCATTTCGTCGTTCTAACAATCTGATATCCTACCTTTATTTCTTTTACATGATCATAAATGCCAATCTTCTATGTTATTTCTTTTTATCGCTAGATAAATTAAAGATAGAATGTAGGAAAAAATATTGAACTTTTAATTTCAGAGGATAAATTCATCAGCGAAAATGCGAAATAAAAATTTTTTTTAATTTAATTAGATATATTAATTTTCCGTATATTTTGAAATTGTTTAGATATAATTATAAATATAAAATAAGAGAGAAATAAAAAAAATATCTCTTATTCTATCTCTAAAATATAAATTGCATTCAAATATTCTCGCATACAATTAAAATGAAAGAAAAAAAGCATTATAACAAATATATATGTATCTTCGAGATATACTAAAAATTGTATAGATTTAAAATTGCCTAAAATAATTTAAAAGAACATCTCTCCAATGAATTTGCGATATATTTAGAAGCTGTAGGCTTAAAACAAATTTCGCGTACCTGTTCGGAGATATGCCTCCATATAAGAGGATCCGTTTGGATGAAAAGCGAGCAGGTGTTGTTTTCTTTCGACCTAGTCGCTCTTCGTGGCCTGCGATGGCTAGGTTCATTAGCTTCTCTACTATATTTGTGACCAGGAGCCTCCCCGTTCCAGGGTGCGACATTTGGTTTTGGCTCCTTCTGATTTGACGATGGGACCGTTTTAGGCGGTTCATCCGGTGCAGCAGAATTCTGCACGCTTTCCATCCATTCTATCACATCACTATTAGTAATACCACATCCACCGCCATCACCTGAAAAATTCATCATTAACTAATCATCATTTCATATAGGACTTTATAAATCTGTTTTTGAGTCTAAACACATGTGTTCAAGACATAACAATTAATTGGCAAAGTAAACAACAGAATGATCAAAAACTTTGCTCTGTTGTAATCGTCAATATTAATTTAAAGGGAAAAATATATTTAGAAATATTACGTGAAAGTATATGACAAAAACTAGCAATAATTCATATAAAAATAATCGGAGGAATATATATAGTAATAAAATACTACAAAATACTGCAATAAAATACTTCAGCAATTTCTATGATAAAGTTAGTCATCAATTATTAAACGAGAATTAATTATCAACGCTGGTTTTTTATGCACGGTAAAGACATGTCCATTTATTTGTAGCTCGAATTGACCCTAACAGGAAATAGCAGGGTAATAATAGAGGCCACTGGTATTTCTGCTTCCTAAACTACAGTAGATGAAAATCTGGGAGCGTGAATCGTAAACCAGGAAGCGCCGCAAGGTTCCTAATTAATGGCAAAGTTCATTGCCATTAATTCTGAATCTGGTCGTGGAACTCGAAACATCCACGGCCACGTGGGAGTCTTACATCATCGATGGGATACATGCGCTTCGAGTTCTCATGTAGGTAGGTCGAAGTATATCCTAAAATGTCTTTAGATGGGAATATAGAGCGAATAATAACGATACGGAAGCCAAGTCACGTACCATACAATCTGCATCGCGTGAGTCGCGTTGTCACCGAAACAGTCGTACATACGCGGCTTAATCATTGGCACAATACGCTCGAGGTATTTGCGTGAAGCGAATATATGGACATAATGCGTCGACTAATGGCGACCTTGTCGCGGTCTCCCGGGTGTTGTATTATGGTACATGATCTGCATATGCGAGAACGTGGCGGCCCAGCCCATCGGAAATCGTCTTACTAAATTTCGAATTGGTTTCCGATTTTCCGTAGAAAAAATATCTTCACTCGATATAGAGAATTTGCTAAAATTTACAGCGTATTTTCGCGATATTTGCATATTTTTGGAAGTTACAAGTTTTTACAAAAATTAATTCATTGAATTGTAAATTATTCTTTAACTTCTTTTTTCTCTAATCTTCACTACTTTTAAACGTAATTTTAACCGCAAATGATACAAGTTCAACAAACTCATTTCAAGTGAAAGCAGAGTGGAAGCTTTTATTTCAACGATTTTTCCTCCTATATTGCACGCAGAGTTATTGACTTTTTTATACTCTCAAAAGAATTTTACCGTTTATAAAATGGGAATATCATTTTTGGTTTGTATTTAATGGCGATATTAACGAGCTAAGATTAATATATCGTATCTCTTACAGACATTCTCTCAATCTATCTTCCAGAGTCGGTTCGCATAAGTACGAACCAATAACATCGCTGCCGATACAGCTGAGATAATCGTGGTTGTCGGCTTTATTGGCTGGTTAACCGTAAGCCGCGAGCTTTAATGACTCGGCATTTCACGCGTGACGATATTGGTTGTCTGTACTATTGCTGTTTATTATCCACGCCTACGTGCTAGTGTCAATAGATATTTCATGAGGTGGAAATGAAAGAAACGCCGCGCCGGGAGAAACCGATTGACCGCGCTTGTTTTTTTCCCACGCATATTTCGCTCGTTAACATCAGAGTTGCGAATGACACATTTCTGTACCATTTAAAATTCACGAGTAAATCGTTACTTCATGTAAAAAAAAAAATTCAACTTTTTTCATAAATCTTGACTCTTGAATATTTTTTATTTAAACTACATTTATTGATGCTATAGCTTACAACTAGATTTACTTTATACACTAGAAAAAAAATTCCTAAATCTAAGTAATATTTTCTTGAATAGTATTAAGTAAACATTTCTTTACTGCAAATAAATTTATTCAAAAAAAGAAAGTAATAAATAATACACGTTTACGTAGTAGTTATTTATTTGCAATAAGAAAATGTTTACTTATTTTTAGTACTATTTAGTACTATTTATTACTTAGATTTAGGAAATTTTTCCAGCGTAGCTATCTCTTTCTTCGTATCTTCCCACGTTAGTGTCTAATATTATCTATCATGTCTAATAATGCATCATACTCCGAGAGAGTTTGGACCTAGAATGTGAAATACATTTCACCCTACTCCACTCTGCTCACCTTAGCGTTATCGTGCCTTATGCAATGCTCCAATAAATGTAGCAAACTCATAACATCAGACGTGTTCCCGGAGAGCAAACACAGCGAGACGGTGAGATTCGGTCCACGCAGCATGCATGAACGGGCGGCGCGATAAATATTACACGTAATGCACCGGTCTGTTTATTTCAACGTTGGCCGTTTATGCTACTGCTACCAGTACAGTGATGACGGTGGATTGCGCAGCTCGAAATTCGCTAGTCGTCTATGTAGCAGTCACGCTGACTATGCCAGATTCAGAACGAGACTGCACTCCCGGCGATTCCATCCGCGCGCACCTATCCAAATAAACTACTTTCCTTCCTAATGATAATACTCTAAATGAGCATGGAATTCGTACTGTGGACTTTCCGATATCCATATCTACGCTTTAAACGACGCAATCTTACGCTGGTCGCTATTTCGTTTCTCGATAGCGTATACACAAAGGAATACCGAAAGTTTAGAATTAGCCAATTCCGTCCGAATTGGCTAATTCTTTAACAAATCCTAAAAATAATTCGCTTAAGTGGAAATTTTATTCTCAAATATATTGTAATATGTTTTTATTGCCGGAGAGACTTTATAACAGTAAAATATGTTAGGGTTATTCAACTAGTGTGCTGCAAAGGATGTGCTTAAAATGTGCTACGAAAATTGTAAGGAAAGTAAAAAGCGAAAAATTTTAGAAATCAATAAAAATTTATATCTAAAATAAATTTTAAAATTAAAGAAAAAAAAAACGAATATAGAGCGCAAAATAAAAAATGTTTTAAAAATTGTAAAAAAATATCTAACTTAATATATTGTGTGTGTATTCTCATTTTAACCAAAATAATTATATATAATCTCTCATCATTGTAATAAAATCATTTTTAAAATGATAAAATAAAAAATAAAAAGTTTAGAACTTTACTTTTTATTTTTGTACAAAAAGAACAATTTTGCTGAAGTATCTGAAAAAGTTAAGAAAGTTAGATATCTAAAAATAATTTTGTTGGACTATTAAAATAATTACATGCATGCTGAATAATGCTACAAAAAGTTTTGATATTCTAGCGAGTAGTTTGAATGTCCTATATATCTAATTGTTTTAATAAGCTGACAAAAGTATCTAGCTATACTTTTGAATACTTCAACATAACCGATATAAATGTCATGTTATCTGATAAAAGATTTATGCTGAATCGTGTTAATGATGTACCTCGACAAATTTAGCTCGTTATTTAATGTGTCGCGAATTGAAAAATGCTGGAATGTATTTTAATAAATCAATGTAAATAATAACCAAATTATGACATATAAGTTTGTTTTTATCCTCAGAATGCAGCAAAAAGCTAATTAAGAGGTGTATGAAGAAACCTTATTACAATTATTCTACCAATCAATCGACCTTTCCATTAAGGCGAGTGATTTGATTCTGACTTATGGACGTGTTTTTAAACACGACTGCTAAAGGATTGTAGTAAAGAATGGAAGCGAATGATGTTCCGAGAAGAGAATAGAAGATAGGCATCGCGTGACAAAAGGGTGGAAGGTGCAGGTACATGATGTCGTGAGGCGCCACTTCAAGGCTGTTACATCGAAGAACATGTCCAAACGAACGTTTAAAAATGTTCTCAGACACACGGCTGCCTTATAATTAGTAAATCTTTCATGCACGACGGACATAACAATTATTATCACAACCGGTAGTTAACTAAATCGTTTCCAATCTAAATTTATCATTTTCTTCGAACACATATTAGGTACACGCTGCTTCTTCGTGTGCATAATGAAGTTGGCAGCTTTGTTCGAAATCATAAAGTTGTTTCAATCAGATATTAAACAAACTTTCATTACTCGAGTTCAACATACAGTTGTATTATCGTTTGTAAATATAAATATAAATAATATACATATATATATATATATATATAAACTAATCAAAAGCTTGTAAAGTGTGGAAAGTTATTTACATTGAATATTTATTTACATTGCAAATTTTCTCCACAAATTGCAAAAATATTTATAAATCATCATGGTATAATCTCACAAAAGTTAAATCATATGATACACAGAGAGGATAAGTTTAGTGAAAAATATTTAAAAATTTAGCTATAAACAGATCTGAAAATAATTTTGTACTGCTAAAATAATCATATAAAATGCTCGAACTAATTATTAGAACGTTAACACTTTTTGCAGCAATGCTCATCATGCTCGAGATTCCCACGTAATTATTTTCATTGTCCAACAAAATTATGTTCAGATTTGTGTCTAGCTGAATTTTTAGATACTTCGGCAAAATTCTTCTTTCGATATATTTTGTGATATTTTTTTATATTTAAAGAGATATTATTTAAAAATTAAAATATTTCGTTTTTTGTTAGTTGTACATTTAAATAATTTTTTCCTTCATTAAAACTAAATATTTTATAATAGAAATACATTGTTGAAAAATATATTGTTGAAAGTATGAAATAAACCAGCGATAAAAGGATAATGTCGAATATTTCAATATTGAAAATTTATAATAAATCGCTTGAAGCTAAAAGTCGTTTCTCTGCTAAATAAATCGTAATATTCGCGAATTAATGCATAAGCAGTATATATGCGCCTGAAGAGTTAACATCGATAAAAAAAAGAGAATTTTGTTTTTGTTATCTTACCTTGTCGAACGTCCAAGTACGGATCACCGACATCATTCTCATGATAGATCAAAGAATGCAATGTCTCGTTTATCTCATGTGGCGGAAAATAGTAATGCGCCCTTTCCACGTACCACGCACCACTTTTCGGTGATACTATCTTCCCGTGGAAGACTCCATCACTAACACTTCCGAACACGTGGCTACCAGGTTCGCCTGAAAGCAAAAGATATATTTCTGATCAGATGCGCGACAACGAGAATATCTAAAAAATTTTATCATATTAATCGTGGCGATAAATTTTTAAGAGCACATTTTCATTTGGTTTAAAGTATAGCGAATTCAGATACAATATTTGTGTGCAACATATAGATTTCTATTTTATGGATTTAATTTTTTGGAAAAATATTTCAATTTTTATTTTTTCTTCCTTTGACACGATTAAAAGGAAAAAAAAATTATAAAAGTAACATGGATATTTGGATAAATGTAAGTAAGAAATCACATTCGAACGTATGTGACTCTCGCTTTGCTTGAAAAAGTATCGACGGTATAAACTTCGTCTCTCGGTAAAACTTTCTGCACCAGAAACTACCGGCTTACGCAGCAACTTGCTCTTGCTGTCTAGCTATCTAATTTATACGTTTAACCGAGATGCACGTAGGAAAATTAATAGCGCGTATATTTTTATCTTTCCACGAGGATAAAAAATTTTAAAAATTAAACAGACTAAAATAGAAACTTGATTTAATTATAACGTAGAAGAACGTATAAATATGTAAATTTGGTGTACGCAGAATGTAAATTTAGTGTTCTCTGTAGTAATGGAATATTTCATATACAGATGGTCTGTGCCAATTTTCTCATCTAGAATTAAAAAAAATTCTGTAGCAGTTACTCTGCATGCCTGATATGATGGTTCAATAATAAAAACTATATAAAATTTAACTTGATTCAATTTAAATAGTTTTATTTTTAATATAAAATACTTATTAACGTTTATTTAAAAATAACAAAGAAGATTTTGTTATTTGCTTGTATCAATCAATTTGCCTAATAATTTCCAATCAAAATCTTTTATAAAACTTTTTCTACTTGTAACTTATAAATGTTGATCCTGCATTTTGACACATAATCACTAGATATTCTTTTTAATTAATTCTCTAATATGAGTAAATTTTTAACTCTTTCGTGATCAACGGAACATATTAAAAATTTATTTATTGCCACCTTCAACCTATTGCATTCCAGTTCCATTAAAATGTTCTTCAATGAAAATTATAAAAAACATTATTTTATAAAATAATGAAAAGATTTAAAAAAATGGTGGTGTGGTTTTTACAATTATGTCATAAAACCACTTTCCAAAATAAATGATATTATGAAATTAATATTTGACGTTGTGATATTGTAAAATTAATATTCCAAAAGAAATAATATAACGGGAAAAAGAAATGCCTTTTTATCAATCATCTATAAAATTCAAAAATTCGGATTCCACAGTTATATCATCCGATTTGAGAATTTCTTCAATAAAACGTGCAATGAATATTTTATTTTTCTTTGTGCAAAGGAGCTGCGTTTGTCAACAAAAATATATTTGACTCTAAGGAAATGTTGGAATCGTATCTCCGTCGTATTACGCATAGAAAATATTTTGCAACACATTTTCGTTGGACTAACACGTCCAACGTGAAAAGATAGTAAGTATTGAATCATTAAAATCGCAGAATAAAATCTCAACATATTGCAGATAGCAGATAGTAGATGATAATAATAGAAAGAATATTTAGAAAGCGTTTCGCGCATATCCTTTTTCTCTTTAGATAATAGATCGCAGGAAAGTAAAGTCGCCCGCACAGCCGAGCTTATCACAATTCAAAATTCCTTTTGTTGCAAGAATAAAGGAAATCTTTTGCTTCCAATACGAAAAACATTTCAGACGGTCTCTAACGTCAGTTTAGAGTTCTTCTTCGCGCTTATGCACACATATTTTCTAGAACTGACATTGTTCTTTAAAGTTTTAAATATGCAAAAATATTAAATCAAGAATTTGTTAAAGTGTTATAGTTTATCATATAATATCTATAGAGACTTCTTTTATGATAAAGGGGAAAAAAAAATTGTTCAAATAAATTTTCAAAGTTATCTAAAAAACTAATTTAAAAAATAATCTTCAATATTTTTTAAAATTTAAATTAAAGTCATGTAACAAGATACATTTTTCTATTTTTTTTTTTCACCAAAAAATTTGAAGTATGTAAGATACATTTAAACTTCTTTTGTTTAATCATAAAAGCTTTTCATAGGCTTGAGAAGCGTACTTCGAATAACTTGTTAACAATAGTGACAAAGTCTTTATCGACTAAATCAACGACTTAAAATTTCTTCAATCTCTAAATTAAGATATAACTTTCGTGGCATTATCGAAAGGAAATCGGGACAGGTTGCAGAAAATTATAATATGATAGATAAACCGTTTTCCATTTGATTCATAATCCGTTGCTCCCATAAATCATTAGAATGAAAATAAAAGTCCCACCTGGTATCTACGCTGACACGCACTTTTGCGTGTCACACCTGGCATCGGGAAATGTTGCGGAAGTGATACAAAGAAATAGTACCGCCTCGTCGAGGATGCATGTTGCAGATTGCAACCAGAATATATACCGACGACAAAACGAATGCGGAGGTTGGACAGACCACTGAATGTGTCGCGGTTACATTTAAGTATGGTTCTTTGTTTGTACAGTTGAAAGCATTCTACTTCTATTAAATTTAGTTTATTTTGACGAAAGTTCTTTGAATGTGCAGGATGTCTTGTAAGGATAACGTTAAATTTCAGTAACATATTCTGAGATGGATTTGAAGACGGCTTTCCTTCATCTGAGATATATTTGATTTCATATTTCATTGCAACTTTAGAATAATAAATATTTTGGGAATTCTACGTGTTACGTCGAGATTTTGCCAAAATTAATTTTCGCTTGGCATAAAAATAATATCGCTTAAATCATCAAAATTGATAATTTTTTGTTAAGTAAGTACATTATTAAACAAAGGGATTCACTGAAATCTGATAAAAATTTCCTAGTATTTTCGGATCTTTTAGGTATTTTTATTCAAGTTTCAGGTAAAATTAGAGAATTGTTACTATGCAATTTTGATATAAATTGGAGTGCAAGCAACACAAACAAACTGTATATTAAAAATTAGTGAAAGACAAAAATTCCACGAGACTATATTTATCATTTTCTACAATTGGAGTCACAAAATCTATAGAGAAGATTCATTACAATACAGTAGTGAGCTACTGTCTTCAATTGAATGTTGTCTTCTATTATTATTCAAATTTTTGTTAGACAAACTCACGATATACAAAAATGTACGTAAATATACACGGACGTATATGATATATTTATTACTAGCTGATTTATTACTAGCTGACATTTTGCATTATCAAAAAAAATCAAAGAAACAAGATTTTCAGACAGAAATAGAATTTAAATTTAAAAGTAAAATTTCAAAAATGTCCCCGAGTGCCGAGTAAAATTCCATGAAAATCCCTGATATATTTTCAAACATAAAAAAGAAATCTCCTAAAATTCCAGGTTTTCTAAATTTTTTCCGGACAGTAAACACTCTGTTTTATACTTCAATTTATATTTCCAATGGAAAAAAAAGTTTTCTATGTTATATCCACCTGCAATATCCTACTAAATTTTCATTTTTTTCCTGTACTATTACAAAATTAATGATATTATAAATGTTATAGTCGCAAATAAATATTTAAATGTTAAAATTTATAATTTCTAAAATCAGCGTTTCTATATTTACTCCGAATCCTCTTAGCCTTCACTTCCCTTTGGCATACATATGTACAATCGTTTTATTACTTTTGCAGAAAGAAATGCCTCTATTTCTCCCGAAATAAATATTTTCAGAGGATGTTGCGACTACGAGTATAAACACAGACACTCATACAATTTTATGTCGCCGTCTACGTGACCCTCTCGCGAGAAGAAAGCTCGAACGATCGTTGCCGATCGATTTCGTGTAACTTTACATTGCAAGCATCATTTATGCAAATATATAGGGCACCAAGAAGATTGCAGACTTGATGTCATAATCTACAAGTCTATATTTGGCAAAGTGTATGTTGTGTTGTGTGCGTCAATGTAGATACTGTTTAAGTTGCAGATCTCTATCACATTATAGTACATACACGAATCTCTGAATAGATTCTGACGACAGATATTATAGAAATAGCTGAGGAACATCGTGTTAAGAAATATGTTATAGAAGTTACTGAATAGAAGAAAAACAAAAAAAATTAATCAGGTAATGTACAATTTTAGCATCAATCGATGATAATGTATACGACGAATATAATGTAATGTCGAACGGTCGGACGTACGATCTATTTCGAAAGGTCAAACAAAAATAAAATCGCAATGTTAAATTTACAAAAATATCAAATCAGAAATTGCAAGCAGTCAATCTTGATTCTATTTCATTAAAATAATAATATCAAATCAAGCACGTTCTTGGAAGCTTCATACATAATCAAATAAGAGAATGGGATTGCATAATTTCATAATATTCATAACATTATACGAATTGTGTTATTTACGTATCAAACTTCGAATTATGTTTAATTACACTAGTCTCCTTAATTGCACCCAGAAACAGATTTAATGAATAATTAAAGGAAAACGCGGTTTATCGAAAATGTCTCGTAAAGATATATCATAAAACATACCGACTAGGTTGCCCTGATAAACGTGAGAGACGTCGGAGTTGTACTGTCTCTCCCCCGTAGAGCCTTCAATAATTAAATTGTTGCTAAAGGTGGTCGAGTCCCGCTTTAATCGAATGTGGAAGTCCTTGCCGTGCGCGCGAAACTTTAACGTCACGGTACTGTCGCGGTTGATCGACCTCTTCGCCCTCAGGTGACTTCGATGGACTTCCTCGACAGGATATGACAGCGTTTCGTAGTGGCGAATGTACTCGTTCAGTCGACGAGCTGCAAGAAAAGTATAAATAAATTCTTAATACATTTGAAGTCAATCTTCATAAAATAAGTGTTAAATTAAACTTCATCCAATTTCAAATTCCGACTTGCCGCAGCCGTGAAACATTAAATAGCCTAAGACTCAATTTAAAGTTCATTACATGGAAGCCGACGTATATAAAATTATTATGCAAGTCGCAAATGTCGAACATTTTCTTGAAATCATGAACAATAAAATTATATTTTATTCTATGAAGTTTAAAGCGCATTACAGATCTAATAGCCAGCCGAATTCGAACGTGCAAAAACTCTACTGGAAACTTCCTAAAATATTCGTAAGCAGATCGATCGAATAATTCAGCATCTACAGATCCAGATTTGTGTATATACTACAATACGACGCTTATTCGTCAACAACGAAGAGAACTAGAGAACTAGACCTCTTTTCACTTAACAAGTCTCAGCCCAGCTCATATTGCACAATAAAAACGGGATGATCTAATCTGTTGCTGATTGAGAGAACTGAATAGAGAAACCCTCTAGAGATTCACTTCGGAATTGCGTTGCGTAACTCATCTCTACGTTAACGAGACAAAATGCCCCGCGGAGAATGACTTGATAGGAGTTCCCCTCTTTCGCTCCGCATTGCTTGTAATTTCCAAAAGTACAACATGAATTTATATCAGGCGACTTTTGTTCGCGAAAAAATCCGGAGTAACCGTGCGCGACAAAAGGGATGCAACGGCCGCGCTACGTGGAAAGCTACGACGACAATCTCGCCAGGTTTTATGTACATATCTGCCAGGCGATACGAGGGTTGTGCACCGGCACTCTCTTGCTGTCCAGAATCCCAAACGCTATCCGCGAGATGCACGCGATATTCTCGGAACAACGTTGCCGTAGTGTATGAATATTATGGAGGGCAAAAATGCACTTTCCTCGTCGCGTCATTTAGCCGATTTCTAAAGAGCGCCTCGCAAGCACCCCGTATTATGCTTTACGAGACGCACCACCTCCGTTACCTCGCATTCACGATAAGTGCAATTGCGCAAATGAGTCAGCCCGATGCCAGACGCGTAACTTTTAAGGCTGATCACGGTAAATGAGGCATGTAATTCTCCAAGTTCTTAATGCTTTTCAGCCTATTTGCCATGTGAACAATGCTAAATTGCGTCGCACCAAATGAAGATATCCGTCTCCGAGCGCAGAAAATTTCACGTGATATAAGATTTATCTTTATAGAAATAGATTATTCTTTTTTCGCTCCAATGTTTACATGACAATGTAGTTACCAAGCGGGATCATTCCATTATCCCGGAAATTCGATATCCGGGAAGTCCGATATATTTTTATTCACGAAGAGCTATTTTTATAAATATCGCGAAGAATTTACGAAAAGTCAAGAGGAGTAATTTATGTGTCCAGGGAGAAAGGTAGAAGGAAATGAAATTGTTTTATGATCGATATTTTTATCTTGACGTCAGACATTTAATCTCATTATGCGCTGAAGAATTACGTGATGCTGCACCCAGTATCCGAGAAATCATGCAAGAGTGCATTGCGCGTTCGAGAGCTATAATTATAGCATCTTATTAGGCACAGGACTGAGTATCATTCCCCTTTCCATTACTTATTCTGATATTTAAACGACATCTTTCAAACGTATTTAGTGCTGCAATTTACGGACATCAAAAGAAATTCTGATACCGAGTGATAATATGCAACTGAATTATATTTTTCGAGATATTTCACTTCCACGTAATATATTGCAAGTGGAAAAATTGATTTTTATAAAAGCGGGCAGCCTGTACTTAACTTTTAGCTTAGCGAACACGGAGATGTTAAAAAAGAAGACAAGTAAACGTCAAGGCTCTCTAGGTTTCATTCTTAGGTTGTAGTATTGGAATAAAGAGAAATTTTACGCAAGTAAGCTCGAAATAAGCTGATTGTCTACCCTCGCCTAGGACTCTCGTCTTCGCCCGCCAAATCAAGCCACCGAAGAAGGCATAAAGTCGAACAGAAACGGCTTATCAACCAACATCCGTTCACGTTAAAGAAAACGTTTCATTGTTCATTTGTTACATAGTAATGAGAGATTATATTAGTCCGCCATATATTCATAAAATAATTGCAATCTCTTTGTCGTCTCTTGTTTCTAAAAAAAAAATAACTACTATCGATTGTACCTATTTATTGCCAATATCGACATGACATTAGCCAAGATATAAGAATCAATAATAAGATTATATATGTTTAATAAATATAAAGTTAATTGTTCCTCTTAATGAAACATTAATTGAATAGCATCACTTTTTGCTTCTCAATTTTCGATATAGCAGTACAATTATTGAATGAACGCCCGCATGCCACCTTTGCAATTTTATAACTTTAACGAAACAGCATTAAAATAATTAATAAACAAAATTTGTAACGTTTTTATAATTACACCTTGTTAATTAAGCTTCAGATTAAAATTTCATTAAAGTTCACGTGAATTAAGAAATCAGATCTCATACAATGTATTTACATTTTATTCGTTATATATGTATATATATGAGAGCATGTTCAGTTAATTTCCAATGCTAAACAAAATCGTAATTATATTATTATGGAACAGATTCGTTAAGCAATAATAAATTCTGTTTTACTACTAAATCTGCTATATTTCGGTGAATACTCAGTATCAAATAAAAAGTCGGAAAACGAGATGCGACTCGCTTCCACATTTCCATCCGCTCTCGAATGAATAGAAGGATTTGAAACGAAACATGAAAACGTATCGACATCTAAAGCTGCAGGGACGCATATGATGCATGAGACAGACTGCGACGACGTACCTTTTTATGCATTGTAGCGGGAGGCGGATCGATACGTGTTCGTATAACGTTACTGGTTTATCTCAGAGCGTGAAAATTCCGCCGGTTGTAGCGCGCAAAGAAATAAATCAAATGCGCCTGCATCTTTTCGGTGCAAAAAATATACCTCTGTAATGCGTAACGAACGAATGATATTTCGAATATGCGATAAAATAGAATAGTTCGCGTCCTACGTAATAATAAAAATAAACTCCTCCTGCAATCATTTTACTGGCAAAATCACGGAATCGTAGAATTAATAACTCACGTTATCATAGAATTAAATATAATTAAAATGCAGTTGCATAAAAGAGCACACTTCGCCAAATGCATCTCATCTGGCATATTCAACATAAATCTCCTCACCTTTCGCTTTTCCTGGATGATCGAATGTCCGATAGACCATACGACAGACACAGTCAAACTTGTTTCGTTCGTTGTTTGCAGCACGGAACAAAAATCGAACAAAGTGAAAAATGTAACGTACCTCATAATCCTGTGCCAGAAACAAAGAGACACTAGGAAATGAAGAGTCATTACCGCGTTTCAATGTAATTTCATCCGCCGTTGTAATCCTATTCACTTTCAAGAGGATGTAGTAAATGAATAAAGCGTTCGATGCAAACTCGGTTTACAAACTGTTAAGGAAATTGAATCAGCCAGAAAAATCTTTTTTCACAGTCTGATAAATATGAGATAAAATAAAAACAAAAAAAAAAAAAACAATTTCGATATTTTCACTTCTACGTCAAATATGTGTAATTAACAATTCGAAATTATGTACACAACAACAAAATTGGAACCATTCGAACTTGCATAATAATAGGATTTTACTCGAAAAATCCTTGATTAGTCGCTGTGGATTGTTATGAATTCACAATGAGCTCGGTTCCTAAATAAAATCCGCTTCTATAACTGTGAACGACTTCCTTGAATAATATTTATCGCTTTAACCAAGTTTTAATTACGCTGTAACGAACGTTTCCAATATTCTGGTGCTGAAAAAATAACTTTAGCCATGGTAGAACGACAAAATCCATCTCGGAATGATAGAGACGTTGGTTTTGCAACTACTTTAATGCATCGAGGAGAAAAAAAGAAAAAGCAATATTCTGAAGAGACGAGAAGGGATGATATCGGAAAATGAAGAGCGGTAGCCTACTCCTCATTCTATCCCGCAATTTTCCGAGCTGTGTCTTCAGCCACGCTGGTATTCTTTCGCGCGAATTGCATCGAAAACGCTCCACGAAGCGCCATGATATTTGGATACGAAGATGAAGGTGTGGCGAGACCGGGAACAAAAATGCAAATTGTGTCTACCCGGCGGGAACCATCAATCCTCTCGTTGTCGACGTTCTCTCGTAACGCGACAAAAGCATTGTTTAAACCTCTAATATATTTTGAAACGCGAAATAATCCTTTGTATTTTTAATATAAATTATCATGCATGCACAATTTTATGTATATTACTTAATAATTTTTTTGTGTTCACACACGCACGGTGCTCTGAGTTTTGCGAATATAAAGACGATTTTTTTAAAAAGAGAATTTTAATGCTTATTTCATCTTCTAATTAATTTTTTAATTGATGACTGTTTTAGTGTTTGAATAATATAATACAAAAAATACGCTTTGTGAACGTGCTTTGAAATAATTTATTCCAGTTCTGGGAGCTTCGTTTAATAATCCTTGATCTGCTTAATTCTTATTATATGAGTTTTGTATTATATAATGTATAATTTTAGTTGGTTCGTTTGTTTAAATTTTATTTAAATTCGTTCCGCCTTGCATTACATATCCGCTTTTCTTTTAGATCGTAAAAAGGTTTTATTTTGCACGAATCCAACAATAACAAACAATTGATCAAAAACAGTTAGTTCCATCAATTCTTTCTGTAATAAATAATTCTGTAATTTTTATAATTCTTTCTGAATTTATGTTTTGTCGATTTTTTTAAAATTTTATATAGAAAGAACAATTTTGCTAAAGTATCTAAAAATTTAACTAGATATATAGATTTGAAAATAATTTTGTTGGAATCTTAAATAATGAGCGATGCTATAAAATGTTTTGACATTCTAGCAACCAGATTAAACATTCTACATAATTATTTTGATAGATCAACAAAATTATATATTTTCAGATTTGTATATATCT